CATGACACCTACATAATCATGACATGACACCTACATAATCATGACATGACACCTTCATAATCATGACATGACACCTACATAATCATAACATGACACCTACATGACACATACATAATCAGGACATGACACCTTCATAATCATGACATGACACGTCATGAATATGAAGGCGGTTTTTATGCATGTTTATAACAACTGTCATTAAGTGTCATTCTTCAGTTATGCCATTTTTAATGCAAAGATGACATTGTTTGAGATGTCTTTGTTATGGGCTATGGTTAGGGTTAAGGGTAGGGGTAGGGTTTGGTCAAATAATGTCATATTTGCATTAAAAATGACATAACTGAGCGAATGACACTTAATGACAGTTGTCATAAGCATGCATAAAAACCTCCTTCATATTCATGACACGTGTCATGTCATGATTATGAAGGTGTCATGTCATGATTATGTAGGTGTCATGTCATGTCAGTCTTATGCACACCCCTTCAAGTAAAGTGTTACCCAATATTGTTCATGAGTCAATTATAGTGACTCATCCTCGGGTATTTGCATCATTGATTGTTTGCATGAAAACAAATGTTGATCTTATGTAGTGGTATCCTAGTAACACCTGAATTCCATCTTCCTGCAAACGCATGTAGTGGCATGTACACTAGAGTATGCCGTGCTACACCGGAAAACACACTCTCGCAGCAGCCAATGGCATCCGCCGGATGTGAGCTGCCAATCATTATGGCCGGCCCCCTCACCTCATTCCTGTTGCTATGCTGTCTTTGAAACTATGGTTACAGTAAAGGTTCCTGTAGGCAGCATCTCTCGCTCTCTCTCTCTCTCTCTTTTGCGTCTAGATGCAGTCTGAACGTTTACTCTGCTAAATGCAGTGTTAAAATGAAATGCAATCGATATGTTGTAGATATGATTGTTTTATTCTATATTTACATGTTTTATACTGTATATAGACATCTTTTAGGGTCCTTAAGTTCAACATCACAAAAATAGTCTATTATAAATCTGCAGTGTAGTTAAACCAATGCTTTTAGGTCACTAAACCTTATTACTCATAGTCACTGGAATACAATTCTTCTTGTTTTAGCATGCTTTACCTGCCATTTAAGAGTGACATACCTCATATGTGTCCCAACAGACATGTGATCCTGTGATGTGATTTTTGGACTTTGAAAAGGAAAGCTTTCTGTGTTGTCTCTCTCTCTCTCTGTCTGTCTCTCAGTTTCTATACTTCCTGCTGTTTTAATGAGCATGTGTAGGAGTGAACCCGACACACTTCAGTCACGACTATGAAGATCACACACACACACACACACATAGTCCGCCACCCGCTATCTCTACTCTCTATGCGTATAAATATAAACATATAGATCACATAATGTGTAATACATACATTTACAGTGAAACAGTATGATTTCTTATATGTTTGTAACGGATTTTCTGCGTTTTTCGTGTTTTGGGACATTCAGGTGTATTATGAAAGGAAGATGACCCTGATGAACTATTTTCCACTGTGAGTAAACTGCCTGAGAAGCACTGTAGAGTTCGATGTGGTGCAGATAGATAAATCCTGATCCAGATGTGCACCACTGAAGCTTATTCATTATTGAAGGTTATTGATCAGCGTTTTATATTGAATATATTGAATATTAAAAGTCAGTGTGAAGTAATTTGACCCTGTTCACTTTTTTAAATTTTTTTTTATTTTTTATTATTATTAGCGCATGTTTTTCCAACACATTTTTTGTGTGACTTCATTCTGGTATGTGAAGGCTAATTTAAAACTTAAATTGATTTTTTTTCTTAAATTTCCTTAAATGCATCAGATTTGTAGATTTTTCAACTGCTGGATAATAAAACAGGTGAAGAAATCCCACAGATTTACATTGAAGAATGAACCCAACCATTAAGAAACCCCCTAGCAACCACACACAACATCCTAGCAACAGTGGAAATACTCTAAAAACAGTCACAAACACCTTAGCAACCAAATAGCAACATTCTTGCAACCATCCTAATATCCTAGCGACTGCACAGCAGCACAGTAAAAACCACCCAGAACACCTTGGCAACAAAAATACTCAGAACACCTTAGAAACCATAAAACCCACTAAACCCACACAAAAGAACACATTAGCAATAAAAAACAACAACAACAACACTTAGAACACATTAGCAACCACACAGCAACGTCATGGAAACCATCCTAGTACCCTAGCAACAGCACATCAAAAAAAATAAAAAAATCACTCAGAATTGCTGCCGTAGCAACAATTAAAAACTACCCAGAACACCCTAGCAATCACATAACAACATTGTGGTAACCATCCTAATACCCTTGCAACGGTGTAGCCTTCAATAAAAAACACTCAGAACACCTTAGCAACCACATAGCAACATCCTGGCAACCATCTTAATGCCAGAGCAACTGTGCCACATTACATTAAAAACCACTCAGAACACCTTAGCAACAATAAAAACCACTCAAAACACCTTAGCAATCCCATATAAAATTTTCACAACGATCCTAATACCCTAGCAACTGCACAGCATCTCAGTATAAACCACTCAGACCACCCTAGTAACCACATAGCAACATTCTTGTAACTATCCGAATACCCTAGAAACTACATAGCATCACAATAAATATCACTCAGAACACATAGCAACCACCTAGCAACTAATACCCCACCAACTACATAGCATTACAATAACATTCCGAACACCTTAGCAACTGTATAGCAACCACTCACAGCACCCTTCCATCCTGGTGGCGACTTTTGCACCAAGAATCACCACTGACATTTTCTTCAAGAAATGTACAAATCTAGTTTCTTTTATTTGCTTTTGTTGCATGTTTTTAATTTCCAGAACAACATACTGCAAGCAAACGTCTCTGTTGGGCAGGATGCATCATATAATTCAGTCGATTCAGTTCAGTGTATGTTCTTTGATCAGCCTTCATTCATATAAATGTGCAAAATTTGCTCTCAGGACACAACGAGGGACCAGTTTATCGGAGAGTGCAATTGACTATAGCTGTTTTTTTCCTAAACAGGCCATGCATCCCACCAAAACGTATTTTAGAAGCGGTTTACATGCATTCAGGAGTTTAGAAGCGACGCAGCGAGCAGTACACAGTGCTGTCAGAAGAGAATGGTTTCTCCCATCACCTGTGCTTCAAGTGGTTTGTCCCACTATTCAGCCAGCCTACCCTGAATGAGTCATCCTGCTCTTCCTTGATTGGCCGGTTGGGATCCATCCCGAGGGATTGCCATGCAGAAAGCTGCCGAGGCCTGACTTCATTCACAGAAACGTCGGTATGCCCGTCTGCCTTTCCATTCACAGCAAGCCCAAATCATTTTCATCCGCACGGCTCCCCAGCATCCTCACATCCTCTCCTCAGCATCTCTTCCGCATCTCTGTGACAACACCGAACAAGGAGCACTTATAATGCTTTCTTTGCTTTTGTCTTAGTGGAGAAGACAAACCCTTGCTCTCTCTCTCTCTCTCTCTCTCTCTCTCTCTTTACCTCTTTTTTTCAATTTGCAGGCAGGCAGGAAAGCGAGACGCTGGGAGGGACTGCAGTGCGTTAGCCGCAGCGGTACAAGAAGCTTGTGAATGACTGCTGCTTCCCTGTCACAAGCTCTTCTGGACATTTTACATGAATGGCTCTTTTTTTGCTGCCTTAATGTCGTGGGCTTCATCCCGTTGGCTGCTTTTTAATGGGGCTGGGAGATCTGACAACACTATTTACGGTCGTATCCCTGCCGAATCCGGATGGCGTTTTAGTGAGATCGAATCTCGACGTGTATTTGAAAGGGATGTTTAATTATTCAACAAAGCTCATTGAGGAGTAAAGCTCAGCTTGTTTTGCCTTCTGTAGGGGGAGATATTCGAGTGCTCGTGTGGATGAATTTATGCTGATTTCGTAGTACGTAAGGAAGAACGAATGTGACAAACAAAGAGATAAAGCCGCATTGGTCTTGTGGTTTAAATTTGAACACATTTTAAACTTGCCATTAACAATGGCAATGCATAAGTGAGGTAGAACCAACCAGACTGATGCGGGCAAAAGGTGAACGCTTTCAAATATTTTATGTCAGTTTGGTAGATTATTATTTCACAATCAATGGCAGGTCATGCAGCACACCTTTTGAGTATAGCACCTTGCTTCTGAACTGAAATAAAACTGTGATTGCATGTATGGAAAATTAGCGATCGCCATGCACGGCGACTCAAGTTTCATTGTATGTGGCGTACATGTGATCCAACAACATGCACGGTACTCCAGTGTGATTTCTGCATTGAATTATGTCAGTAGATTACGTTGCTGACTGATTTTAGTTCTAGTTCATTCTGACTAAGCTCGGATTTCACTACAGTGATCTGTTTATTGCATCTTTTCCATTCTGTTTATCCGTTTCAACACGGGCCGAATCAAAGCAAGAGGCGTTCCTACGGACAGGGCGAATTTTGAGAATTGATTGGTTCTACTAAGCTATAAGTGGGAGTTTTTTTGTAACGGAAAGTGCTCTGCAGTGTTGAGTGAGTCTTTTGTTGAGAAGGGTCGCTCTCTCTCTCTCTCTCTGTCTCTCTCCGAGTGAGTCATGCATGTTCAGTGATCTGCCAGGATGCGGGGGGAGAGAGAGACATCTCTTCACTAGAGCTCTGTCTCTCTCTGCCATCTCTGGCCCTCTATCTCTGTAGAGGAGCGACCTCGCGCTGCTTTTCTCTCTCGTCGTCCTCTGTCTCCATGGATCCAGCGTTTTGTGGTTTATTTTTGGTCCCCGAGCTGCTTCTGCCACTGCTGCACGGCGTCGGATTTTCCTGACGGCCACTCGCTCCCTTTCTTCGAACCCTTGAGGACGCTTTCTCAGCTCCAGCATGTTAAAGAAGTGGACAGTCAGCTGGGAGTTGGATGTGTCCGTTCGCATGTAGGCTAGCACACTGAGGGGAATGCTTCACCGTGGTAAATACAACCGATTCCGGAATGAGTCAGTGACGTCCGTCGATGAGCTTCTGCACGGTCTCTCCATGAATGCCAAGGTCTCGGCCGTCCCGCCGTCGCTGCCTGTGGGCGACCCTCCATACGCCCCGCCAGCCGAGGTCTTGCCGCCCGACCCTGCGGAAGAGTCCGGCACCTTGTGCACCCTCATTAACAAAGTCTCCAACCTCAAATTCGCCAACTCCTCCGGACTGCTGGGCATCAAGGGCCTGCCGTCCGCCGTCAAGGACCTGGCTGTGTCCAAGCTCCAGGGAGGAGCGTCAGGAGGCGGATCCGGTAGCCCAGGCTCATCCACCCTCCCAGCGGCCTCCGGAGTGCCTCACGCCCCACCGGAGCACAGTTCCGCAAACTCTGGGAAGAAGGGCAGGATGGAAGAGTCTCAGCCCAGCGGAGAGGGCTGGGGCCTGGGTGGGACAGGTGGGCTGGTGAATAAGCCTTCTCGCGGATGGCTGCACTCAGGTGAAAAGATTTCCGGACCTGGAGTGACGTACGTCGTTAAGGTAAGATCCAAATGCTTTCTGATTTCTGCAATCCCTTGTTGTTTTCCTTCCGTGTGCTGGTACAGAGGGATTATGTGTACGATTTGGAATAATACAGGTCGCCAGTGACTCGAAACGGCACCATTACGTTCACAACTGACCATAAAAGCACAGACTGTTCCGCCACATACTGTACCATGTTTACATGCCATCTGTTTTGTCTGAGTCTTACATGCATGTGGATGTGGGCGGTATGAGCCAAATCGGATTTTGTAATACCATTAAAAAATACTTGGGAATTAAATCATACAGTATAGATTAAATGATCATGTTTGTGTATGAATAAATGAGTGCATTTAGAACAAGTGAAGATACTTCATCTCATTTGATTTGTTTTCTTTGCTGGAACTTGATCAAACAAATCAAAGGATGATTATGCTTAACCAGTGTTTGATATTTTATAACACTTGAGTTAAAGACCAAAATAGTAAAACTAATATCATAAACACCTGTGACTGAACCAGGGTTGTTATAGTACTAAAATTAAACCATAACCAAACATTTTAATTACTTGAAATAAAATAAAATACAACATTTAATAATAATAAAAAATGTAGCTTAACTTGATGTACTACAATATCTAAAAAGAAATCTGAAAATAAAATAAATAAATAAAACTAGTATAAACTATATGATAACTAATATAAATTATATAATAAAAATTAAAACTATATAGACTTTTTTTTTAAATAATAAAAAGGCAAAACACAGCTAAATTACTAAAACTAACTAATATTAAAATGAAAAATAAAAACTAATTCAAAATATTAGTAGTATCTCAATGATACTAAAATAAAACATTAGTTACATTTAATGTGGAAAGTTGCAAGTGTGACATTGCTCAAACTCGATCTGCACTTTTCATATTCCTCTTCATTATTAAAGTCAAATCACATTTATCTATACAGCTTTATACCAAGTAGCTTCATAATAAACAGGAAAATATTGTGTTATGTTGTAAAATTGTAAAATGGCTGTAAAGCAGCTCTAAAGAAGATAACAGTATCATTATTCAGTTCAATAACAGTGTCAGGGTTCTTTGTACAGCAAATAAAATAAATCAGTCCTCTCCAATCATAGCTTTGCAACATAGCTTAATTTAGTTCACTATATACAGTATAATATGTTTTACCGTCACACAGCCCTACATGCATGCGCTTCAGAGACGCTGACTGCTAGTGTAATATAACACAAGTACAGCTATCCATCTTCTCTGTGTACATCGTTATTGTGATATATTCTCTACTCTCCTTAAATATCTCAGACATAGTGGTTCAGTTGTCCGTGCGACCGCTTTTTTTTTTTTTTTACCTCCATAGATTTGATCTATTCAAATTAACTGCACATCAAAAGGGAAGTGCATGCAAATTGTGTAACCACGGCGACCGGTTACCAGACCAGGGGGATGTTGTTCCGGCTACATTTCTGTTACTGTATCGTCTCCGGAGATCATGACGTGTGCAGGACAGAGCACCTATTCTTGTCCACATCTATATGCAAAGACAAACATAATAACTGATCTTTGACTGTTGAAGTTTTGATTTGTGCAAATATGTGCACGTGTGCCATGATTAACATGCATGTAGCACCTGCTTTCTGTGCATTCGATATAAACGCACATACTTATATTTGTCTATATATGACATAAATATAAATATGTGTATTTAAATCAAATGCACATAAAGCAGGTGCTACATGCATGTTAATCATGGCGCACGTGCACATATTTGCACATATATATATTATTCATTCATTCATTCATTTGCAGAACTGGGAAAGTCATAGCAATGTGTAAACGCTTGAGAACTCTGTAGTGCAGGTACATTTGTCTTCTATACATGCACTATAGGAATACCAACATCATTGTCTCCTTTTAGGGTCGTTTGCAAATGTTTCTTGAGATGTTTGTGCTTTAATAAGTGCATTTTAGTGCCGTTGCATGAATATTTGTGTAATAGACAATGCATATTGAGCACTGACCTCAGATCTTGCAGTATTGTGTACTTTAAGCGTATCGTCTAGTGTGTTTGCGATCATATAAGCATGTTTGCAGCCCCATTGAGCTAAAGGTGACTTGGATTTGTGCTGCATGAATCATACATTATTCCCTTCTGGCTTTTTTTAGTTCTGAATAGTCAGTTGGTGTCGAGGCAAAACACGAACCGACAACACGACTGAATTATATCGTGCAAACCGGCGTGCAATGGAAGGGAACTAATTTGATGTGTTTTATTATCAGTGACAAAGGTCTCTCTAAACATTTAACGTACAGAGAGTGACACAGAGAAAATAAAGGACAGTACTTCTAGCTCTTTGTTTGAGTTTGATGTGTTTTGGTAAGAGTTAGCAGGTAAAAGTTAGAGGCGTCCATACCAAACCCCTCTGGCGTCCCTTTTCAGGGCTGAATGTGTGTTATTCTTTACAGTTCACTTATTTAGTGACCCTGTGCATGAACACACACACACACACACACACACACACACACACACACTATGCTCCATTTGACTAAAAGGACAGCTGCTGACATTGACTGGACGGGCTGCTTCTCAAACACACGTGACCAGCGTTCAGACAGACTGCAGGCTTTAGGATTTTTGTGCTTAATATAATTTTTTTTTTCTGTTAACAGTAGTAAGGCACTAAGGTCATGCTGTATTGTGAATATATTTGACATATTGCACATTGCAACAGTTTAGTGTGCCAGTATGTCTGTGTTTTGCGTTGTGTTGTGAATTCATTAAGATTCATTAAGTTGTTGTTCTCAAATGTGAACTTGCATGTAAATTGAATAGCTGTTATGCACAAGCTTCCAAGTTTAATGTTGACTGTTTAACTTTATTTTTGCTCCGCTAAATTTCTTAACTTCATGACAGTATCTGAGAAGACTGACTGTAGAAGAAGACAGTTTACGCAAAAGCCCCCTGTTGGCATTGCTGAGAATACAGCATGTACTTGTACATTTCCAAACACAGCGACATGAGAGCACAAGCTTGAATAGCATTTGCATTTTCATATTTTTTGGGCCTTAGTTTGTTGGGGAAATTATTTACTTTTCTCATCATTTTACTGTCTTTGATTATCATCACATGTTACTAAATGTAGTAACCACTTCCTTGCAGTGACAATAAACACAAAAAAGTAGGTTATTGAAAACCTATAGGTTTAAAAATAAAATAATATTACAAAATATATTAAATAATTAAATTTTCAGTCATTTATTTAAAATGATTTATTTTTCTGGTCATTTTTCTGTCTTTGATTATCTTGACATTTTACTGTCAGTTGCTGAAAACCTATAGATGTAAAAAAATATATATATTGCAAAATAGATATTTAATGTTACAATATATAAATGATTTACTTCTCTAATTTATTTAAAATTATTTACTTTTATGGTCATTATACCCATAGGTTTAAAAAATGATATTCCAAAATATATATTTAATGTTAAATTATATATTAAATTATTTACTTTTTGGTCGTTTATTTAAAGTTATTTACTGTTCTTGCCATTTTGCTTTTTTTTTATTATCTTGATATTTTACTATATGTTGCTGAAAATATATAGGTGTCAGAAAATATTGCAAAATATATATTTAATGTTAAAATATGTACATACATATTTAATGTTAAAACATTTTCAGCTTGACATTTTACTAAATGTAGCTTGCGGTGACAAAAAAACATGAAAAAAGTATGTAGCTGAAAACCTGTATGTCATTATATACATATGTATATATAAATATTATTATTAATATCTTAAGCCTACGCACACAAACAAACTTTGTATTGTCTAATACTATCATTCAATAAGCTCAAAGTCTCCTTCATTGTATTTAGCCAAATACTATTTGCCAAAACATTGCAGTGACTCATCGTCCGCTTCCGGCCTTGTTTCTTTTCTGTGCTTTGAACACCAGAGTTAATTTGGCCGATAAAAACAAGGCAGTAAGGAGATAATTTTCCATGAAGCGCTCGAGTAAACTTAACTAATCAGCATTTACAGTGTTCCTGGAAGAAGGTGACGTGGTCGGAGCGGACGGTGGGTTCGTCGGTTCTCAGGTGGGTTACTGCAGGTGACTCATTCATTTAGTCAAGGAAAGTTGTAGTGCGGCTCTGACTGAGTGAGTCATGCAGCATTGAGAGATCAGTGAGGTGAGAGGCTAAATAAAGCAGAGATGTGTTGATGGTGATGTCATCGCCTGGACAGGAAGTGACACCGTTCTCTTGCGGAGCTCGCTTTTAATACGTGTGTTTGCTGGCTGTTTTTATATGATTATTGGATCTTGTTTATTTGTATTTTATTGATTGTATTTAATGCTTTTGTAATATAGTTCACGTAGATTTTGAATTTAAGATTAAAGAATATGAGATGAATCTTGTAAGTTGGAGTATAATATTTTATTAGTGTCATTTTTTGCTATCAAATTTGATTGATTTTTATTCAAGAAATTCTTATGTAGTTCATGTAGGATTAGGGTTTTGAGTTTAAGATTTAAAAATATGAGGTGAATCCTTTAAGATGGAGCATACATTTTTTTTAAATGTCTTCTCTCACTCTCTTTTTTAATTTTGTTATTCTTTTATGTTATTTATTACTTTATTTAATATTTTTTCTTATATAGTTAATGTTGGGTTAGGATTTTGAGCTTTTTATAGATTAAAGAATATACGATGAATCATTAAACCTGAAGTGTGGAATTTTGTATTGTCAGTTTTTTTTCATTTGTAGTTAATCATTGTTTTTTTCTGTTTAATTTATTTAATTTAATGTTTTTTTCTTTGGTTAATTTAGGATTAGGGGTTTGGGCCTTTTATAGATGAAATAATATGAGATGGATCCTTAAAGCTGAAACATGTCATTTTTCAGTGTCCTCTTTTGTAGTTTATTTTATATTTTTATTTTATTGATTTTAATTCATACTTTAGTTCATGATGGGTTAGGGGTTTGAGCTTTATAAAGATTAAATAATATGTGATGAGTATGAGTATGAATGTTTTTTTTGCTTTGCTTTTTTAGTTGTAGTTTTGTAGTTTTAATCATTTTAATTAATACTTTCTTATGTAGTTCATGTAGGGTAAGGGTTTTGATCTTTTTTTATCGATTAAAGATTGCCGGATTAATCCTTAAACCTGAATCTTATAATTGTTTCAGTTTCAAAATGCATTTTTGTTTTTTATTTTTGCTTTTGTAGTTAATCATTTTTATTTTATTTTAGCATAAATGACAGACTTATCTTATGCTGAAATGAAACAAATGACAACAACAAGTGTTCAAGTGCATTTGTGAAGACATTTGATCAGATCAGACACAATAATATTGTGGTTTAGACCTGAAATTACACTCTGTGATTTAGAGAAATTTCTGGAATTGTTGTTTTTCTGAAGAAAATGTTTGATTGTGTGTCTGCATATGTGAGCATTACCGGCGTGTGTGTGTGAGTGTGTGTGTGAGTGTGTGTGAGTGTGTGTATGTGTGTGTGTGTGTGAGT